GTTTTGCAGAGGGGTCAAATACTTATTTCCCTCATTAAAATGCAAATCAATTTTTGACATGCGTTTTTCTGGATTTTTGTTGTTGTTATTCTGTCTCTCACTGTTCAAATAAACCTACCATTAAAATTATAGACTGATCATTTATTTGTCAGTGTAGCAGTGCATCACACTGTCAGGGAAGAGCTCTGGAAAATGATGTCACAGGAATGCTTCTGATGTCACTTGAATAGTCCTGTGTATCTACACTGGCAGTAGACAATTTAATAACCTGCAAAGATCATTTGCTGCATATTAAAAACCAACATTTCTCACTCTCAGGACTGGAATAAGAGTCATTATTTTGAAAATTTTGTTTATGTTTTTGTGTGTGGTCATTTGTGACCAGGATGAGACCACCAACTCCCTACACTGGAGAATCTGATTTAATCAACGAGTAGCTCAAAACCTGAATTGAAACCCAGGATGTCAGTGGTGCTGGCTTAGTGTACTGATCCCTAATCCACATCAAATTTCCATAATAATGATTATTATGGTCGGAACTGGTATCCATCCAAGACACCGTGTATTACCCACAACCGGATCCAACCGGATCCAACTGGATCCGGTTGTAGCGGTCATCCGGAGCGATACATTTGATTTCAGGTAGGGTGTACAACTCCTCTAGAGCAGTTTTGAGTGAAGATCTCACAGGTAGTGATCCAAGTTGCAGTTTATTGGCGATAGCATTCCAGACCCTGGGGGCATCAATTGCAAACGCCCTTCCTCCAGTATTTGTACGGCAATAAGGAATGTGAATCTGGTAAATGAGCGAATACCTAAGGTCACATTTGTTCTTCGAAACAGTGAGGAGATCCAGCAGGTAGTCTGTGGATTTTTTTTGTAAGTACATCGTGAATATATAAGATCTGATGCACAAGCCGTCGATCATTAAGAGATGTTAAGTTTGACCCAATGTCGAGATCACAGTGGTGGGTCCTATATGGGCAGTTCAATGCAAATCTTAAGGCCGAGTGATAAATTGAGTCAAGCTTCTTCAGTACAGTACTGGTGGCTGATTTATATACGATGTCACAGTAATCAAGTAGAGGCAGTATATGCACTGCTGTAGTGAAACCAGGTACCACCACAGTCGGTATGCACTGCTGTAGTGATATTAAATACTGCTATCGAGTTGGTAGATACTGCTATATAGAGTTAGTAGATACTTAAACAGTCAGTATATACCACTACGGTTAGTAAATACTGCTACAGTCAGTAAATACTACTATACAGTCAGTAGATACTACTATGGTGAGTAGCTACTAGAGTCAGTAGATACTACTATAGAGTGAGCAGATACTGCTATAGAGTTAGTAGTTACTACGATAGTCAGTGGATACTACTATAGTCAGCAGATACTACTATGCAGTTAGTCGTTACTACTGTAGAGTCGGTAGATACTACTGTAGGCCCAGTAAATACTACTACTACGGTCAGTCGTTACTACAGTCAGTAAATACTACTACACAGTCAGTAGCTACTACTGGCTCAGTAGATACTACGGTACAGTCAGTAGATACAACTACAGAGTCAATAGATACTACTTACTCTGTTGTATGTAGGGTGTGTAGGTATATATACCTACGCGGGGGTAAAGCTATGTTTTGAGGGGAGGGGGGTCGACAATTTTCGGAAACCTTTTACATCAACTATTTACCCCCCACTTTCTATAAGTTTTTGGACTTGTGCAAGCCTCCTATAATTTTGTTGGTGGAGAAATTGATAAACGGTCCACCGGGCTTTCACAATACCTTAGTATCTGTGTATGATTATGTAAGGTTTTTAAGAGAAGTTTTCAAATATATTTTTCGCCCGGGCAACGCCGGGTACTTCCCGTTAGTAGCTTATAAAAATAACAAGTGTGCATGGCTTACTATGTAATAACACACACAATTATGGGGATATTAGCTTTGTGTTTCATGGAAACATTGTAAACGTGCATGAGGTGAACGAATGAAAGATGCAAATTCCTGCTTCTTTAAATGTTGAATATGAGTAGTAGATGGGCCTGGTGACAGTCAGTCATGCAGAGACAAATCTAGAGCTCCCCGAGGGGGTGGTGGGTATTCCCAAAAATCATCCTATTTTACTAGGACCCCGACATTAATAACAATAACAACATTTCACGTACAGTATATTCTCTCTGGTCAATATCAATGAAATGTGCCAACTCTTGGGGTCTCAAGGAAGGGGTGATCACGCCCATTAGCCCCCTTTGGAAACGCCACTGCAACCACTCATGCTGAAACACAGTTTTCAAGGGTAGCAGTTTTATATATTCAGAAAGGCCAGCAATGATTTATATAAAAAAAACAGTTATATCTGGGTTGTTACTTACGGCCAAAGTTCCGTGGGTTTCTGCTAGTTTTGCCATATTCTAGAAATAAAAATTAAACATTGGAGTGTTATTTCCATGCAACAAATACTGTACAGTCTACAGTCTACAGAACATGCAAGAATGTGCCACCTAGTGTCCATAAGACACCTACTATGAATTGCTTCATCTTGCAGGGTATTACAGACACAAGGTGATGCACTACTTGCTGTGACAGATCTATTCATGGGTATTTGTCTCCTGACATAAAATGAGTCGACTATCATTTGAAAGACGTGTTTTGTTAAAAGTAATTGATGACACGTTTTGGAGTATTTGCTAAATTAAATTTTCCAGTAACCACAACAACAAGCCAATGCATTTAGTGAACAGTTTGGCTACAGAGTAATATATTATGAAGAGGCCAGGGTTGTTAATGACAACCTGTACACCGGTAACATTTCATAGCCAATTTCCGCTTCCAAAAATCATCAACTCATGCACTGATTGCCACCCGCGTACGTACAAAACGGCATAACTGCCTAAGACGCCACATGCTACATGTACATTTGCTCTCAATTGTCAGTCAGAAGGTAAATGTACAACCGTGCAATTACTTGCTTGCTTACTCTGGAGCAGGGGTGGCCAACCTGTAACAAGACCGAGAGCAAAAAGTACCCATGATTTCTGCAAAGAGCCACGTGTACACATAAGTGTGTGTATATCATAATCAGAGGTGGGACAAAGTCATTGTTATGCAAGTCCAAGTCGAGTTGCAAGTCTTTGTACATTTTGCCGAGTCGAGTCTGAAGTCATCAAATTCATGACTCGAGTCTGACTCGAGTCCAAGTCACATGACTCGAGTCCACACCTCTGGTATATATATTGAGAGTTTTCAGCACACCATGGGAGACATTCATTATTATTTTTTGCTACCGTGATAGCACGTTCTACGTTATTCCCCTTCGATTGAGCCACATGTGGTGGAGGAAATAGCCGCATGCGGCCCGTGATGCGCCAGTTGACCACCGCTGCTCTAGAAAGAGAGTATTTGGTCTTGGAAAAGGTGGACGTACCCCAACTTTACCCCAACCGCACGCGACCTGCCGATTCACTGTGGCATTCCTATTTGTACTGCTTGGTGGACAGAGTCGAGGGAATTTAAGAAACGTGCCCAATGTTTCAATTACAGCGTCAGGAGATGGAATCGAACTAGTGACCTCAAGATTGCAAGTCCACTGCACTAACCATTACACTGCAGCAACTCCCTTAGTTTCTCAGTTAAACATGCCAAAAACATATTTTAGGAGTAAACCTATGCGGAAAACCGGTAACCAAGATGTTTACCAGACCACTTCGACCGGATAACTTCTGATCTGATACAAACTCCTGGGGCCATTTTCTGACACAGGGTGATGCAATGCTGGCTGCATTGTTCAAAACGGAGATTGCTTCATCTCATGAAAGGAAGACGATAGCACAGCTGATATATAATTGGGGACAAAGGGAAAGAAAAAAATACAATTCTAGCCATTATTATCACCATAAATGTGTATTTATTATGTGTTCAAGAACTATAATGGATCTCAGAGCAGCAATATATAACAGGACTGGTGAACCATAATGCGTAATGAAAACATGATAGGACCACGATAAACGTCATTAATAAATGTAACGTGTGTCATCTAAATCTAACTAATAAGAGTGTACCACGTGAAATATTTTGTAAAGGCAAAAAAACCTAATAAATCCAGTGAAACAGAACAACAGCATATTTGTCTTCACCATTATACTATATTTGTTCAAGAATCGCCTCCTCCACAGGGCAATGCCTTGTTGAATACGGATGCCTGAACAAAGACTTGAAATGCTGCTCAAGTCTAGAGGCTCGTTTGTTAATCTTAATGGAATCCAGTTGGGCTACATTGGGGATAAAGCAATACTGTATTTTATAAGGTTGATCATTATCTTGTTTGCATAAAAAATGTACACTGTAGCTTATGCCACGCAATAGTGCATGTCTTCAAGGCATTTGCTTTGAAAACCAGACCCTCTCCCAGTCTGTGTTTTGTCCCCTGTTTTTTTTTACTGCAGTGTAAACAAAAACGCGATGGAACATTGGCTTGTCACACGAAGCATCATTCAAAAAACAGCAGACGTCAATGAAGCAGCCACCAATAGGTGGCAGCATTTCTCCACATCCCATGCGCCATGCGATGCCACCTGACAGTTGACAGGCAGACAACGTGGACAGGAGTCGCACTGTTGACCTGACATGGCAGATCCTCGGTCGATGCTATTTTAAATCCTCCGCAATACCACGGTAGCAATGCATAACGAGTAAGCGTGCCAAAAACACACACACGCATGCGCGCACAAGGTAAATAATGGAGTTAGTTTGTGGACACATATGGGATGCTTGTGCAGGGTATGTTGGCAGACTATGGGGGATGATCAGGTTGCTTCATCAACATCAATTATGAAATGGGCTTGAGTGTGGGGTTTCCTCGGCCAGGCGTTGTGGTTGATCAGGTTCAAACATATGCCCGAGCCTCACGTGGCGAGGGACCAGTGCGAGAAGGACGAGAGAGGTGGGGGACGCGCGGAAGTTTTCGCTGCCGTCTGGAGCTTTGCTGCCGAACCAGCGATGCCCGGGGAGAGGGATGGCAAGAAGGAGCACCACAGGGAGGGGAAAAAGCGAGAAAAGCAAAAGGCTCCCGTGGACGACGGTGACGAGGACGAGAGGCCACGCTCGCGCAGTTCAAGAAAGGACGAGCCAAGGAGCAAAGCGAAAAAATCCGCTCGGGAGTCGCCGAGCAGGGATCACTCGCGGGGCGACGATGCTCCCGCCGATGATGCTTCGGAGCCCGAGGTCGAAAAGAAGAGGCGGCCGACGGGTAAGGGTGAAGGGGATGCAAAAAGCAGGGAAAAGAAAAGGCTTCCTCTGGATGAGGAAGCCAAAACAGCAGCAGCAGCAGCAGATAAACCCAAGAAGAGGGAGAAAAAGCAGAGTGTGGAAGAGCACGTCGAGGCAAAGCCTAATGGCAACGTGGAGGAGGAGTCTGAGAAGAAGCCCAAACGTAGGAAAGTGAGGGACGAACAAGAGAAGAGTGAAAGTGAACCACCAAAGAAAGACAAGAGGCATGGCAGGTCACACGACGATCAGGCATGAGACGGAGAAAGTGGCAACAAAAAAGAAACCTTCTCGATTAAAGGAAGGGAGATTGAGTAAGGATGGAGGCGATGAGGAAAGTGAAAAATTACTGGAAGAAGCTCCACGGAGTAAGAAGAAAGAGCGCAAAGGGACCAAAAAAGAAGCCAGGGAAAGTGCCCCATCGGAAGGGCAGCCAGAAGTTGAACCTCCTGTTGCGGAAGGAAAGAAGCGGCGGAAAGGAAAGGTGGATGAGGAGCAGCTGGAGGTAAAAGCTGCCGAGGATGATGAACCCAAAGAACAGTCTAAAAGAAGCAAGAGCAAGGAAGTGGGCGGACGCAGGGAGGGAAAATCGAAACAGGAGGAGGACACTCACCGAGATGCAGAGCACGTGCCAGACATGGCTCCAAACGTGGATAAAAAGAAAGGGGCAAAGTCGCGTAAGAACGCAGAAGATGGTCACGGGAAAAGCAAAGATGTGGAAGGAAAAGATTCCTCAAAGGCAAAAGAGGAGGTTTCTGAAAATGGCGACTTAGGTGTTGAAAAATCTAAAAAGAAGCATAGGCACAAGGAAGTCAAAGAGGATGCCCCGGAAGAGCGAGATATGGAGCAGAAAGAAAAGGACGGAGATAACAATGGGAACAAAACAAAGAAGAAGAAGGAGAAAAAGAAACCGAGCCAAGATGTGGATGAGGAGCAGCTGAGTAATTCTGAAACAGTTGCCGACACGGAGGCGATAACTCTAGAAGAAAAGGGGACGAGGAAAGAGAAGAGAGCAAAGGACGACGGCAAGCGGGAAGGCAAAGAAAAGGGGAAAAAAGGTGGCAAGAAAAAGAAAGGGTCCGTCGCTGACCCAGCCGAGGTGAATGAAGAGGACGAGGCAGCGGAGGACGTGGTGTACATGGAGAGAACTGCCAACGGCGACGTTGCGGACCGGGTCAGGACGAAAGACAAAGCAAAGCAGAAGGAGAAACGGGGCGAGAACAAAAGCAAGAAGCGAAGGGAGCCGGTGGAGGAGGAGGAGGAGGTGGAGGACGATGAAGATGACGGGGAGGGAGAAGAGGTTGACGAGAGGGGGAAGAAAGCTTCTCGGCAAAAGGAGGCGGGCGGCAAGGCGGGCGAGATCGTCCGCACGGCCTCCTTCGACCTCATGGACGAGTTCTACCACCAAGGGACGGAGGCGAACGAGGGGGAGTTTACGGTCAAGAAAGGTAAAACTGCCACCAGCCCGCTTTGTGTCACGCTTTGCGAGAGGATTTCTATACAACCAACAACGACGCACTGGCGGTGCTGCCAACGGGTGTGTGTTGATGTAGGAGGGCATCTCGTGTTGCTGGGGCGCGTGCGGGGTGGGTAATATACGTTCAGGCTGCATGTCGGGCAACGCAATTAAACGTTGATTCTCTCTCTCTCTCTGGAGATTATTCCAAGCAGAGGATATTACTTGTATATATTGCAGAAAATAAAGTAAATTACGAAGCACGCAATTGTGATGAGCACATACCTGTTTATCACTGCCTACCTTATACTGGTAGGAACCTCCTGGTTAAACCAGCCCACAGGGGATTATTGTGTCCGTCCGTCCGTCGTGCAGAAAGGGGCTGGGTGGGGAGGGAGGGGCTGGGTGGGGAGGGGAGGGTGGGGAGGGGCTGGGTGGGGAGGGTGGGGAGGGGCTGGGTGGGGAGGGTAGGGAGGGGCTGGGTGGGGAGGGTGGGGTGGGGCTGGTCACCCCGTGGTGCCCTTATAAAACTCAAAGTTTAACCTACTCACGCCGGCTTGTGCCCACCCTGACAGTCGGGCATATTTGCGGAATACACCACGCCGTCGTTGACCCTGGCCATTGACCGAGCAACCCAACGTTCCTACCAGCTCCCTCCACAGGAATGTGTTTACAGACCAATTCTGCGCTTGATTGCCCCCCTCGTGCCCTTATACATCTCAACGTTCATCCCACAAAGTCCCGTACTGAAACGGCTGTATGCCATATGGACCTGAAAGCTCAATTTCCCTGTACATGAATGCGGGGTAAACCGTGTGGGTTGACAGGTATGTGAGCAACCTTGGGCCTCGGTCCATCTTTCCACGACAACTTTCATTGCCGTTCACGAGGGCACTATTGGGTATTCTCTCTCTCGCAAGTAAATCACACATTTTTGGAAATGCACAATGCCATCATGCATCTCCTGGTAGACACTGCCATTGTGCACATCTGTAGATACAATATCGTCAATATCTATGTTGGAAGACACAATGCGATTCATATCTCCCCTTATAGACACACAGTGCCATCGCACATCTCCCCTGGTAGACACACAAAGTGGGCTGTGCATGGCGTCCTGCAGGCTGTTTCCACTCCAGAACAAATATCCCCCCCTTTATTCAAACATACGCAGATATGTTGGAATGAAATATAACAATAAAGACAAAATGCCAGTGTTTTAATGTGAATTCCACCGGCTACATCTTATGTTCTAAAAGCCTTGCAGCAGCGGTGAAAGGAGCACAGAAACTCTACTGCTCTGTGTTCTCTGATCTGAAGGATGACTCATTGCCCGTATAAGTAGCATATTGCAAAATTCGGTTATAAGTCCATTAACTACAACAAATGTCAGTGCAATACTGTGCTTTCAGCCTGTGTCCATAAACCTCTGCCAATCACAATCAGGAGCCATGACCTATCCACTGCTGCCACAATCCCTTCCTTCGTTGCGCATGTGACGACTTTGATGTTATTGTATTTGTCGGGTGCTGGAGGGTTATAGTTAAAATGTATCATAATTATAATGATAATTTCAACTGGTAATGCACGCAGTATTCGCTTACTCTCAAAGAGAAAATGACTCAGGGGATTCAAGAAATCACAGGCAAGCGGTGAACGGGCGCTAACTATTTCCCAAGCTCAGTGGTCCTCTATATATTAAGGTGTTTTATCCAATTTATTAGTATTTACATGTGGGAAGCAACAGGAGCACCCAGAGAAAACGCACGCGTGCAAGGGGGAAACATTCAATCCCGTACATAGGGTGCTTGTGAACTCATAAATCGGTGTACTGTAGTAATAATAATAGCACCTTGACGCCTACTGGAAGGGAGTTTCACAACATTTGCGTGATCCACCAACGCTCGCCTATTCAGTGTCTGGATGACAGGCGTGCACCTGGCAAAAACAATGTGCATTATACCTACACGATCTAACATGAAATAAAATGTTTTTAATCGTATCGGTCGTTAAAACATTCTTAAAATTAGTGTTAGTTTTTTTTAAACACATATACCAGGGTAGGGAGGTGGCACGGGACTGTGAACCTGGTGATCTGTTTGCTATTTGAACCCATGACTATCATTAATTGCGAGTGACAACATACCAAAGTCCGGTGTCTTGCCTGCACCAGACCACACTGACTAGCATGGTGAAGAGTGGTCAAACAGCTGAAATATGACTAACGCGGTGTGCATGGGGAGGCCTTCACCCAGCAGTGGCTGTATAAAGGACAGTCCATTATTATTATCATACATAAACAAATAAAAGGCAGAGCAAGCAAATGGTATGTCCATCCTCTATTCAATACAACAATTTGCTCCGGTAAAATATATATATATCAGAGAAGAATTGCGCCAACGTTTTTATTTAAGACAGCGGTTAAATGAAGGCATAGAGGGGAATGAAAGATAAAAAAGCAGAGTGCTTGCTGCTGCGCTGCTAGGGAATGGTATTCCATGCATGTGATTGACGGGGGAGGGGGGGGGGTGCCAGTGAGTATGCGAAGTCACATGCAAATTGGAGAAACGTGACCGAAAGTTCTTGATGAATTATTCATTCGAGCTGTAACTGCATCCGCGAGCGCAACTTTGTGTTTGGTGATTCCCCACATAGCGGGGACACGTCCCGAAACGTCTTGGACGGTGGTTTGCCAGTGGAGGCGACGCTTTTAAGAGACTAACAAGTATAACGCGTAAAAACAAAGTTTTTCACTATAAATCCTTTATATGCGTGGCGGCTAGAGTCCTCTCGTCCTCTGGCTTGAGATGGCTGCCACCTATGGGTCAGATGATTGCATGGCAGCATTAAGCAATTGGTAATTAAATATAATATTTTTGTCCTAAAAAGTGTAACATTTTGGGAAATTTTTTTCACGAACATTAATTGTCACGCACAACGAGTCTGTGTGGAAAATGTCAGCTCGATTGCATCACGGGAAGTGGGTTAAAAAACGACTGAAAGATTTGCACGGTCCTAAGCAAGCAAGCAAGTGAACTTAATATAAAGGATTTTAAAAAAAGCATTTACCTTTTTAAAAGTTGGAGCTCAGATTGTTTCTACGGATAAGAAGGATGTAGTTGGGGGCACGGACACGCGTGAAACAGGGCTGCACAGCTCAAAGATGAAGATTGCGTGAACCACAGCGCGCTTGTAATCTCGACTCGTCTGAGCTGTGTCAAATCAGACGAAATCCCACCGGTTGCGGACGCATTCTCTCTCTCTCTCTTTTTTTTAATGGGGAGTTCCCTCCGTGACTCAAAACAAATATTGCCCGCTTGCTTATCGCCATCAGTGGCCCCGAGACAGCGGTGGAAATTCTGCATTCCTTTGATGGGGTCGGTGGGGGGCCGACCGTTCCCTTCCATAAGAAACATTCGGGCGCGGATGTTTTCTCGAATAGGCGGCACTAATTGTGTGGATACCGGGGAAGGATGAGGATGTCAACAAACACCCGCATGTTACAACATCAGAAGGGTGTTGTCGTTAACCAGAAAAAATGCCACACACCGCGCGTGCAAGGGGCCATCCATTCAGTGCGTACGCAACAAAAATCTGTCAAAACTTGACACCTACCCCCCTCTCCCTGTACGCACGCGGACTTTTTACACCCCCCCCCCCCCGAATCCTATAGAACGGCCGATATTTAATCCACGCAGAAATGATGAAGGATTAATAATTATAATACTAACGTGTTTAAGCAAACAGAGAAGTCCACCGCCGGACTATCTGACTCATTTGAAGGCCAATGTAGACACATTATTGTCAGT